CCAGCCCAACCGACTGTTGCAGGGACTGTGGGCAATATTTGTCTCTTGCCCGGGTTTAAGCGCTTGTGTCACATCTCGTTCTGGTGGGGGAACTAGTAAACACCGAGAAACATTTTTTAAGGAAATAGAAACAAAAAACAAACATACTTATCATCATTATTAAATAATTGACATTTCTTGGATATATAATGTAGAAAGATGGCTTAGAGAATTTAGCACTGATATGATTCATTGTAGGCAAGAAGGGTACAGGAAACAACGAGTAACTTATCTCAAGAGCCTTTGTAGATGGATATCAGAACAGAGCCTGAAATATATAGTAGAGATAAATACTTCTTCAAGGTAACACGGGTATTAAGTACTGGCACGGATAGATCTCCCACGTCCTGAAGAGTAACGCCACATAAAAAAAGAATAATCATAGGAGAGTCATGTTTAAAAGGAGTGGCGTAGAGAATATAAAAAATAAAAGATGTTAAAAAATACATATTCAGGAGGAATAAAGTAATAGCTCGACGGGGAAACTCAAAGGAAGTAGACCCTGGGATGGTGAGTGCACGGTGCGTGAGGAATTAATCGACGTGGTGAAATCCGAAGACGTATTGACATGGCCAAAAATGTATTCCAAAAGCTGAGCAGAGATAAGATAAGAGGGAAAGAGAAAGACACAAAGAAATTAGTACTAAATTGTTACCATTCCTCCTACATCGCAGGGAGTGCTGGACAATCTTCTCAAAGATGAAGAAGAGACTTGAAGCAACAGAAATGTGGTTCTATGGAACGATACTGAGCATGCCATGAACCGAACAAGAGAGCAACGGCGAGGTTTTGGAGGGAATGGAAATAAAGACGAACCTTATACTTAACATAGAGAATTTCTTGGGTACGTGATGAAGAAGGGGGGTTTGGAAAAATGATACTCACGGAACCGACTGAGGGGAAAAGGAAAACAGCGCGTTACATACTTAATGAGCTTAAGCAAACGGATGGTAGAACAGGGTTTGGGGAAATTGGTAAAAAGATAAAACTTATAAATAACTACAAGAAAAAGGAAGATGTGGAGAACCATGATCAGCCACGTTCTGAAGGGACACGGCACATAAAAGAATTGGGCTTTGGTGGCTCAGCGTACGGAATTTTGAGCGATCGTTGACTCAAATGTAAATAACGTAAACAGCGTTTTGATGATTATTATTATTATTTTTATTTTCTTTGATTTCTGGCGTTTACACATTTCTTTCCGGGTCCCGCCCAGGGACCTAAGGTTAAAAATAGCATCATGACACTTTCCACTGACAAAAAAAAAAAAAAAAATTACATAGATAAAGCCCTTTCGTATAGTGTGGGCTTTACTTGTGAAAACAATTTTTTGTATCTCCTAGAGGCATGGACTTCCAGGAATCCCTTCAATTAGTCTACTGCAATCTTTTCCAACCAGTCCTAGGTCTCCAACTACAACATGGATTGTTCATGTTCCCATATGCCACATTTTCGAGATTTCAATTATTATTATTATTAGTAGTAGTATTAGTATTGTTGTTGTTGTTGTTGTTGTTATTATTATTAATATTGGATGTATTCGAATGCTTAACATAATCTATAAAATATTGGAGCCAGGTACATGATTACAGCGTCAACATTAATATAGATATTTAAAATATACATATATATTCTCTTGCCTACAAGAACAGAAGTATGTTGGAAATTGAGAATGTGGTTATATGTTGCGAAGATAGCATTTCGGTATGCACGGCAGGTGAAAGAGAGAGAGAGAGGATTTAATAGGATCATTTCCGTATACCACTCTGATACAAGGAATGGAAGCCAGAGTTTAAGAATATTGGTATTACGGAGAGTCCATTTTTCAAAAGGGGAAGTTAGCCTTTCTTTCAAAATTAGACTGCGCTTGGATTACGTAGGAACATACACGTATTTTTTTCATTTCAATCCAAGCAATGCAATAAAGCCACTAAGAGAGCAGGGCTTACTGAGTGTGAAAGAATATAAGAAAAAGAAAAGCATTATAAAACGAGACGAGGAGGTAGTTACTGAATGTAAAAGAATATAAGAAAAAGAAAGACATTACAAGAGCAGAAATTAATAAGACAGAAGTTGACGATTGACATTGCATTTAAATTTTTAAAGATCAAACTTGACTGGAAAGCGAGAAGCCAGAGAAGAGCATCTCGAGGTGAATGTTTCTTGTATTCAAGAGACCCGTTTGTAAACTCGTGATTATGAGGACAGTCTGTCTAGGGACTTTTCCCTCTATTCAGTCTGTTTTGATTTCCCTGACTGGTAAGCAAGTATTTCAACGCGACGTGTGCTCTTGTCTTCGCAAATCCTGCTGACAGGCTTTGCGTGCTGGATGCTACTATAAAGGATAAGGCTCTTCGTGTCATTGTGGTTTATCCGTCCAGCGGCCATTTCAAATGTAAAATGATGTAATCTTGCGACTAATCTAGTACTGCGGTTAAAGTGTTAGAGTGTGACGTCGTCCACCGGTCGCAGCGCCAACTGTGACGTTCTATCCTGATCTACCACGGCGCCAGTTGTGACGTGGCCGTTCCAGGGTCCTATCCCGGTCACGACACCAGTTGTGACGTCCCTAAACAGCACCAATTGTGACGTCTTCGCCGCGGCGCCAGCTGTTCGCTCCTCGCTGCTCCGTCCGGGTGTCGCTGCTCCAAACGTGACGTTCGCCTGTCGCGTCAGTCGTGTTGTCTCGTACTGTGACGTCCAACTGGCTTGGCATCGGTCGCGCCACCCAAATGTGACGTTCTAACATTTTGGTGATTCGGGTAGGAATCTGGTTAGATTTGATATCAGCCTCGCCGTTCCCAACTCGCTTCCAACGCCTGGTTACCAAGGTAACTGCACTGATCTCCAGTCTGCCTACCCACGTTGTGAATAGGTCTTAGACAGACGAGATCAAACAGGGGTTGAGGCCGTAATGCAAATTGAGTTCAACGGGGGGTGATAACACACAAATATGCATCAAAGAAAATAAAATGAAAACTCAAAAAGTTCAAAGTATCAAAGAAAAATAGTAACAAACTTTATGTCTATTTGTTCGATACATAGGACTGCATCTATCTCCCGACCCGTTCTGTGGATTGTGACACGTCGCTTTCGCTAGGCAAGTTTTAACGCTACAAGTTGTTTGCTCTCTAAGAAATTTGTGTTTCAGTGTGTCTTTGGGCGAAAGTCGAAAAAACTTATTTCTGTGGTCTGGTTCTAAGTCGCTCTTCAAAATAATTGTTCTTGGTTGAAGAGGAGTCTAAAATTTTGCGTGAATCTTGGTCAGCTATCTTGATCTATCATCTCTGCCGTCCGGGACTTCTGCCCGCCAGGGCCGAACGAACTCTCTTCTGCACGCCTGGGCCGAACGAACTGTTGCCCGCCAGGGTCCGACTGAACTCTGCCCGCCAGGGCTGAACGAACTCCTGTCCGCCAGGGCCGAACGAACTGATTTCTGCCTGTTGGGGCCTCGTTTTTATTGACGCCGTCAAAAACCGGGTTGAGTCTGTTGGCGTCGGGGAGTTCCTCGATAATTCTAAATACATATCCACGTCTTTTATTTCTGGTTAGGGATTTTCCATCCTTTTCCATTTTTGGTAACTTTCTTCTCACTCCCACTTTCTCACCATGCTTCTGAGGGGCGTGAACTGCCCTCCCCACTTCTTCGTAGCGGCTTCTCATACTTATACTTTGGATGGGGCGTCGACAGTCTTCTTCGTGCGTCACGTGGCCACTCTCGGTCAATGAGGTCTTGGTCGGGTATCTTTCCTCCTCCTTCGTGCGTCATGTGATCACCACTTGGCCAATGACGTCTTAGTCGGGCGTGAACAACCCGCGGCTTTGTTTTGGAAAAGAAATACCTTGTTTAACTAAAAAAATTAATGATCTCTCCTCTTTCTCTTTTTCTTTCTTTCAAATCGCCGTTATCATGAACGGATAATGCGACAACTCTTTGTTCAACACGTGGCGTTTGTCAAGCAGTTTATCGCTAATGCATCATGGTCTCAGAAAGGAATTTTCTCCAAGTTCTCAGCCAGTCTGACGTCTCTGAGGCAGCAATAAAAACATTTCTTATTCCATTCATTTTCCTTCAGTTCATGTGTCTGATAACAAAATTTTATTATCGCAGGGCAAAAGTCTGTTTTGTCGAAAAGAGCTTAACTAGTGAGACTATTTGTGTGGGATTTTAATTTTCCATACCCATCTAAGGCTCCAAGCTACACCTGTGTTTTGTCAATTATCAAAATCTAACGTTTTCAAGTGGACTTTCTTTGGTGAACATTTCTTCATAACACAATTCCATTCGCGCGGACAAGTGGGGAAATCGGTCAATGCTTGCTCGCAGGTGGCCTTTAATTTTGATAGTAAGATGCTTTCTCGTACCAATAGTTTAGATAACACTTCTCTACCCACTCAATCCCATTGTCATTGTAATGACACTCCTTTCGGCATTTGCCACTTATCTAAAATAACCCCTTTTTTTATTGCCTCTTAAGCCGTGTGTGTGTGTTCGCTTATGATCCGTCTCGCATTACTTCTTCCTTCCTTTCTTTTTTTTCTTTCTTTCAAATCGCCTGGATGCATGGTGCCACAGAGTATAGATACCATAGAAGAAAGGTCATCAGAGAAATTACCATAGAAGTATTTATACAAATGGCAGAGGAAAGATACATTACGATGACGGCAGAGTGATTGAAGTTGAGATGGCATAAGCGAGATTCTACTTAAATATTTTCGCACAGTAGGAGCAAATTGATCATTCATTTCATGTCTTACCTGCGTCCAACGTTCGCCATTACTCACCGAAAAATTTATACATCGCTTTTAAATACTCCGCCAGGAAATAAAGGACATTATTATCTGTCATTGTTTCGTTTCGTTGAATAAAACATTACCTTGACTAACCTCCACAAAAGTTTCGATATTTACATAAACACATCTATAAACATTTCTTATATAATAGCTTACGACTGCATTACGTTGAAACACCAGTTGTCGTACGATCACCGATGTTAAGCAACATTGTGCCTGGTCAGTACCTAGATAGGTTACCACCTTGGAATACCAGTTGCTGTATGCTTGGGTGCGCGGTTGGTGTATTGGACAATAACTTGGAATTTTTAATCGGAGGGCCGTGTTCTATTTCCAGTCGTATTTATTATATTTTACTTACGCGTAAATACCTGTGCGAAAGGTATAATCCACATTTTCCATCCCACAGATATAAGTTAATTAATAAGACATTTATCAGTAAACCATTATTATTTCTCTACAAAAAAATTACAATCTAAAAATATTTTCTGTCATTAAATAACCTACCAACAGTCGATAAACCGTAAAAACTAATCAATCAAAAGAAACAAATATAATGCCGTGTCTTTGTCAGTAGGAGCGTTATCATGGCTCACTACAGATTACTTTTCTTTATTGTCTGTGAATTGAAGGGAATTCTCTAGCATTTTAGTGGAGTGGTTTCCTTTTGGCTACTCCACCGTTTGGAATACAGTGTTTCTTTTTTAATACTCGGACTACTCAACCAAAGCTGGAGAGTTGAAACTAACCTGCCATTTAACCCAAAAACAAGTTGGAGAAGGGATCATTTTATGCTTTCCCCAAGGGTATTAGTGTGAAAGTAAATGCAATAAATCGGATTTTGAACTCGGCTCGTTCATTCTACTTTCCTCGACAATACATCATTACACTAGCCCTACATTCGTCCATATATACATACATGTTCATATCAACGAGTTTTCAGACGCCTACAAGTATGGCCGTTTCAAAATGTAATACAATACCTGGCTGTTCCATGATATTTAGCGTTATCTTTCTTCTAGACCGGATAACCATATATACAGTATAATCCGGATATAAGAGAAAGCCGGATATAAGAGATATTTTCTCTGGTCCCAAATTAGAGCCTGTGTTAATGTATATAAAATAGACCAAACCCGGATATAAGAAACTTCTTCTCCGGTCCCGACAACTCTCTTATATCCGGGTTACACTGTATATATAAATAAAGTAATTCATCGAGTCTGAAATAAAACTCAACAGAAAGCACTGGACGGCCATTGCGTCCTATATTTGGGACTCATCAGCAGTACGCATCCACTACCGAGAATTGAAACCCTGACAGTTAGGTTATCATGCAAACGTCATACCAACTGTTCCAACGGGCCTCGGTGACGAAGGAGTAGCAAATCAGACACAATATAGCGCCGCTCGCTCACATATTCCGTGGTGAAGGTCAACTGAGTTTCTCTATAACCATAGGACTGTACCCCCTGGAGCCACCACTACTATCACCAAGCCGCTCAAACTTGAGCATTAGAAGCCGGTTCAAGCAATGATATACAAATGATAGAAATTATTAGGAGGATTTGATAATTGTAATTAAGTAATTCATCGAGTCTGAAAGAAACCTCAACAGAATGCGGAAACTAGATGAAACTAGAAACTGTTCCTCCATATATATATATATATATATATATATATATATATATATATGTGTGTGTGTGTGTGTGTGTGTGTGTGTGTGTGTGTGTGTGTGTGGATGTGGAAGCGATAAAAAGAAATGAAATAAAATTAAAATATCATATGAAGGAATTAAATAATAGATAAAAATACTGGAAATATATTGTTAAAAATAAAATAAGAGAAAACTAAGATATATAACGGGTGTAAGTTGTCAAAATCGTGTAAGAGCATAATTGTCTATCCGACAAAATGTTTAATATCTAAAAACACACTAAACTGATTGAGTTTCTTTTTACAAGGTTTTCAGATAAGACGTTTAGCCACCTTGAAACCTTTTGTCGAAAGAATCAGTGAAAAACTCTTTAATTTATTCAGCTAGAAAAGAACAGGTTATAAATGTTTTATGTCAACTCTCCTCTCTTCTCAACTGAGTAATGGTGAGAGGAAAAATCATTTAGGCCTTCAGTAATGGTAGCAAAATTCATACTCTGGTTCCCATATTCAAAGACCATTCAAGTACAAACAAGAGAATGAGAAATAAGTTTTAAAAGACGTAACAGTACAGAGGATAACTAGATCAGGTGGACAGAACAGGAAGAGTGATCATCATTTCAACTTCGAGCGATTATAAAAGACCCAATTAAATCCACAAGGTTTTTGGTGCCTTGTTACTCCACGACAGAAAGTTAGAAGGTTTGAGAGTTCGTAGATCAGCTTTAGATATTTGGAAAATTATCCTCTAATATATATATATATATATATATATTTGAACTTTATTTAAATATGCACGAGGTTTCGATCCTCACCTATGATAAATTAATGATGAACATGTCTTTTTTAATTTCTGTTAATCTTGGAGAGTAATTACACATTTTTATTGGTCAAAGTAGATCCCGACAGTGTTATAAAAACCTCGGAGAATTCCAATAAGATATATTTAATAATTTCTAAGTTACAACTCTTTACTGCTTTATTTAATAATTGGACAATTTTGCTGTTACACGATTTGGTTAGTTTTGCCGTTCACCCAATTCAAAAGGTTGAGCTTACTCTTGATAATTTTTCAAATTGGCTCCTATAGTAGTTTGTTTGTACTTTAAATGAGAAACATTATTACAAATGGTTAAAAAAGAGAGAAATGATATTTTGTTAGAAAATATTATTATGGCAAAAAGAAAAAAAATATGATTAAATTTTTACGTTGGAGTAATGGCTTGTGACTTGGATTGAGGAATCGGAGAGCCGAGTTCGAATTCCAGTCGAATCCATTGCATTCACTTACGTGCTAATAAGCTTGGGAAAAATAAGAATCCTCTTCTCCCCAGGACAGACCGGTTTCTCTAGCCTTGGATAGCAAATGGTCTAACGCAGAAGGAAATGGCAACCTACTTCGGGAAAATAGCTGTCTTCTCAGTCAGGTATCGAAAGACATATGATCGTCCAAGTGTCTGTCACGCATGGCACATAACTGACTTACTTATCAAAATATCCTGCTTTAGTTTTCTGTACTCTAGCCTAAATGTTTTTGCATTTATTGCAAGAGTTTCTGAAAGTTTAAGTTTGATAATTGATTATATATATAAAACTTAAAACATTATATTTATCTATTTACACCTGAATATTCGAGAAATCTTGTTAAACATGCGGATCTATCGGATATATATATATATATATCTTACTTATTATAAAACGCAGATTTTGTGTGTGTGTGTGTGTGTGTGTGTGTGTGTGTGTGTGTGTGTGTGTGTGTGTGTGTGTGTGTGTCTGTACGTTGATATATTGGATCGGATTTCTTACATTTTTTTACCAATTTCAACAAAACATCACAGGACTACATAAAATTACCTTGCGGTGGTTCTAACAGCGCCAAATATTGGAAAAACACAATTGTTTTTGCACGAAATCCATTTGAAAGCACAGTTAAGTGTATCGCACCCGGCCGGAAGTTACTGCCGGCTACTCAAACGTCAATATGTCTTCTAAAAAATTTTTCTAATGAAAACCGTATCTGAAATAACAGAATTTTACTCATAATTATATCGAATAACCCCACTATAAATGGCAAAAAGTTATTTCAAATAAGGGCGAATACATAATTGAATAAAAATAAATTTGTAGTATATTTTTATATTTTAGTTTATTTTTTGAAAGAATAATCTCGATAAAGGGAGCGAAATTCGTTCATTAGTAAAATATATATATATATATATATATATATATATATATATATATATATATATATATATATATATATATATATATATATATATTCATTTTTTATATATATACTTCATTTTTTGCGAGTATTATCCGATGATCCAGCGTCCGTTAAAAAGGCTCTGTAAAATAAATTATTATAATGGTACCTTAATATATATAATAAATTAATTGATTTAAAATATATTGTTTTCACTAAACAGTTTCTAACCATGGTTGGAACTGTGTAGCAAAAAAAAAACATATTTTAAATCAATTAATTTATAATATTAATGCTCTGTAAATTTACATTGAGCACTGTTTTGTAAAATAAAAATATCTATAAGAACACCGGATTATATATCTTACTGTTCTTTCTTTTTATATATATATATATATATATATATATATATATATATATATATATATATATATATATATATATATATATATATATATATATAAATGGTGGTACTCTGTCTGAAAAACCTCAGGTAGCTCAACTTGCAGCAGAACAAATCGGGAAAGGAAAATGAGAAGTAAAAAAAGAAAGAACGAAGAACATAAACCAATGTTAAAACAATCGTCCAGTGTTCAAGCTCTCAGTCCAAAGAAAGAAAAAAAAACCTAAAACGAATAAATATACAATTACGTAAAGTGCTGAAAAACACTAAGCAGATCAAAACCTAAGATAATCCTAAGGAGCCAGGCAAACCTACCTAGGATTCACCTAAACGGATCTTCAGGGTGATCCTGGCTTTAAAGGAAAATTATGGAACAGTAGTTATAGCTAAAACCAAAAGTAACCATGAACACGTGACAAAAAATAAATAAATAAAATAAGCCAAAAGACGGGATGTTTTGACTTTATTGAACAACCCAAAAAAAAAAAAACAAACAAAAAAAACAAAAAACTATTTTAATAACCAGCTTTTCCTATGTCTATAGCTACTAAGAATTTCCGATTTTTGGTTCACAAAATTTTTAGGTTACTTGTAGTTAGCGATAGCTAGTTTTTCCTTCATACATAGAGAACAGAACTTGTCACCCGCCTTATATTTATAACATTTTTTTTAAATATTTCTCACTTCAAAATGGTGTCCTTATTAACTTCTTGTTTGATCTTCCATACATATGTAGACGGGGTAGTCCTATGTTTATAGGTTTCGTTATTGAAACTACAAAGGTGGTTGTATTGTCGTTTTTTGAAACTACTGGGTGGATCCTATATAAACTTTAGGGTTCTTATCAATATTGTTCGATTTATTACTGTGAATTTTTACTTGATAAACTACGCATTCTTGTTGGCACTTGCCCTCGAGAAGGCAGGCTTCCTTATTCCTACAATTAGACACTCTCACACACACACACACACACACACACACACACACATATATATATATAT